CAATGAAAAACTATTATTTTACCCTTTATCAGGCCTTTAAGAATACTGCTTCATGTTGCTCATAGTTCACTGATATTGCTCTGAACACTCAGTATCTTTCCTGGAAAATATGTGCTCACATGGGAATCAATCCATTATATAGAAAACATTTGGTAAGGATGTGGAAAATAAGAGCTAAATAGTTGAAGAGTAGGGTTGACCACAGCAGAACAAAGAGCTCAAACTACATTAAAATCCAAGAAGCAAAACAACAGAGTGCAATGTTTAACAAACTTTGAAAACTGCAGTACAGCTGTAACTTAGCAAATTAAATACTTTTCCCCCATTATTTTATGGCTCATTATTTTTCATTCTTTGAGAGCTGAAAAACTGCACATATCCCAGAGCTTTCTGAATCTTCCTCATAAACATACAGTATAGATACAAGAGAGGAAACCAACTACTGGACTCTGGCTTATGTCTAAGATAAGTCAGAACACAAACACACAGGCATATTACCATACACACAGCAGGCGGTGGAGACACTGCTAGCTAGCATACAGCTAATGTTATCATCTGTTCAGTAAGTACATTGGCCATGTGGTGCAAATTAACCCAGCAATGGTCCAATCAATTCACATGAACAACAAGGAAGAGTTTTGCTCTCTGTCAGAACACACCTTAAAAGCACTTTGAGCTAAATGCTAATAGCAGCATTACAATGTTACATTTCTGATCATGAGGTGAACATGAATATTGATAACAATTTTCATGACTATCTATCAAACTGTATCTATCAAATATTCCACTAAAAGACAAAAATGCCAAACTCATGTTGGTAGCCAAAGAACAAGTCAACAGGGTTCATCCTCTAAGGACCATGAATATCATACTGTTTATACAGTATCTGAGTCAAAGTGGCAGACCAACCAACTATGCCATCCAATTAGTGCGACAAAAAAATACTAATTGTATAAATATAATTTGCAGTTACAAAAATTCTATTGTTGTGGTGTGGGGTGGGGTGGGGGGGTTCACTTACCTAACTCTTCTTACATAATCAGAATCACATTTGCACTTTATTCCCATTTTTTTCTTTTCACCTTTTGGGTCCATGGAGACATAAAATACAGGTGATAATTGGTGTAAATGAAACGTTTGTGTGCAATTCAGCATTTTTCCATTAATGGAGCTTACTGAAATGTTTAAGGACTGTACTGTATAATAGGTTTACAGATATTTGTGCAATATTTCATTTCCTTTTATTAGTTCTAACTTGTAATTATTTTTTATTTACTGATTGTTTTCTGCATTGACTTTCTGTACTGACTCCTCTGTTTTTATTGCATGCTATATTTGTGACATTCCCCAAGTATTTGGACCTTGAGAAATACAACTGCAAACTCCATTTCCCTTGTGTACTTGCATGACAAAGCACAGGTGTGCTCTAGATGACGCCATTAGAAGTTCATTAGGCACCGGTATTAGTTCTAAATGCCTTAATGATTTTTGCAATGTGATGTATTCTTCATTAGACATTTCATTTACTTCACTTTATGGCAAGAATGTAACAATTTGTAATTTTATCAATGATTAACATCCCGTTAAAATAATTACTGCAGTAGAGGGAGAAGGATGAGATAATATACAGTGTTTCATGTGTTCCCACCAGGTTGGAGACACCACGGACGGTCTCAGGATTCAGCATGACAATCTCTGTGGTCACATGTCCCTCCACAGCCTCCGTCATGTTCTCCACTGTACAATTGATAGCTGGGTCTTTGATCTTAAACCAGTTGTCTGCGTACCAGCCTATAAGGAACCACACATACTTCTTCCCGTATAGCTTTTCCTTGAACACCTGCAGCAGGGAGGCATATGGAGGGAGGATGAAGGGAGGGAGAGGATGATAAATAAGCATGAGGAGAATTATTCCCACACATGTGCTGAGGATTTTACATCACTGCCAAACCAGGAAATTCATTTAGACATCCAAAGAGCTCATTACAATGCTCACTTTCTGCTAGTATCCAGTCAGGTTCAGTCTATTGGGATCAGTGTGGTGGGAAAAGGTACAAACCTCACAAAACACCTTCCTGGCTTCAGTTTCATAAAAGAGCCCCACAATGATCCTTGCATCTTGGCGCTGTGTCAGAATATGAAAACAAAAGAAATCATTGCTTAGTTACTGCACATCAGCAACAACAATATAACATTCCAAAAAGCACAGCTTGATGTGGCCACGCAGTGTGCCAAAGTTCCTGCTGCTTTGCAGGACGGCACATACCGCTGCACAGAAGAAGCTAATTAACATGATGCATTAATTTCTTCTATCAAGCTGTCTCTATGCTAATGGTTTTGTGCAGCTATGAGCCAGAGCAGGAAGGAAAGGGTGAGAGAGAGAGAGAGGCGACCAGCAGCTGAGGTGAATTTTTAATCAAAGCACCTTGAGGTTCTTGACAGCGACGCCCGGGTCACTGAGGAAACTCTGGCGAACACTGATCTCAATGCCTGCTTCCTTCACCCTCTGCTCCAGATCGTCCAGCGTCTGCGAGATTAAAGGGAAGGGCAGAGGGACACAGACCAGGAGGTTTGGGGGAGGGGATTAGAGACATCTCAACAGAGAGAAGCGAAGGGTTGAGATTACAGAGAAAGACAAAAGAAAAGCAGCCAAGTCTGAAGAGAAAGAAAATTAAAAAAAAATCTCAAGTGTATATGAGAAATGTCAAGAGGAGGATGGAAGGTGTGGGGATGTATGATAAACAAGAGAGGCAGCATGGGAGAGAATAGATTTTTTAGACAAAGAACATGACTGGAAAGAAGAAAAGAAAAATGTAAGAAGGGGAGGAAAGAATGCAAGAGCTGGACCATTAACCTCCATTACAGGAACTAACCCAAGTGTCATGATATTGACCATCATGCCTGGGTGACATGTATTGCTTGATCAATATTTCTCACCACCAATATTCCAAATAATTACTTCAAAAATCCTCCATCAATTGTCAGGAGAGATTGCCTGAAGGTGTATCTCATAGCCTGAGAACACAACAGCTTTCATAAACAAACATACAGAGCCAGGCAAGCAGGCAATCAGGCAACCCACACCCACACTTTACCAAAAATGATAGGACATGGAGAAAAAAAAACAAAGTGTGGGAGATATTATAAAAGAAAGAAAAAAGAAAAAGGAAAACATACGTGTAAAACTGAAAGAGAGGTGAAAAGTACTGACTGAGGTGAAGACTTCGGTGGTCTGCTGGATAGTGGCGATGCGGGTCCACTTCCACTTCTGAAAGAGCTGCACCCTGGTGGGGTTGTGGAGGGTGGCTGAAGGGTGCGTGCGGAAGAAGGTGGGGAAGCGCTGACGGTTGGACAGGGCTGGTGAGCTGGAGCCATAGGACAGCTGGGAATAATGAAAGACAGAAAAAAAAAACAACAAGAAAACAGTGACTAAGGCAGGAAGTAGTAAAATATGTAGTTTGGGGGAAGAAAATAAAGAAAAATATACTTCTGAAGGTTCTTCCAGGCATCAGTAGTAAACAGACTTCAATCAAAACTTATTCAAATCAGGACTCTCTTGTTCCACCCCTGTACACAGTGTTCTTTGATGGCAACCGGTACAAACAGCAAACAAGGACAAAACCACATAGACAATCCCCGTTCCTGTTTTCTCATTTTCATCCACACCCCCGGCCTCCTTCCTTTTAGCTTCACTCTGGCTTATGAGGTATATCGATAAAATCTGTAATTTCAACAAAATAAAAACTGAAAAAAACTGCATGCTGTATTTTCACTGCATATGTTGCCACATAATTGTGATAACACATTCTAGTATTACAAACAGAACTAATAAAAAAAAATTGCTAATTATTGTCAGTGCAAACAGTAGCCCCATTAATCCCCTGCTTCCTTTATTTGTACTTGCATCATTTGAGTTCACAACATCGACTTGTTGTGAAGAGGCAGACTGCAAAGATTTGTGTCCAAAGCAACAGACAAGAGGGATGGTGGAAAATGCCAATAGAAAAAGAGAGAGGACTGTTCCTCTAACAGTTAGTTTTGCAGTGACAATTGGAGATAAAATCCTTGACAGGTTTCTTTTAAAATGAGAAATCTGGCTTTTACAGAGCCATTACAGATACATTCAGCCTATCCTCCTCTCCAGCTCTCATCTCAGCCCCATTACCTATACAGCCCTGAGATATTCACAACTGAGGGTGAGAGCAGGCTAGATAGATGTCAAATGTCATGTACAATGTGGACTCCCCACTGTAACAAATCCCTGCAGGCACAGGCAGGTAGACGATGGCATCAATACGAAGGAAAGAGACAGAAAGAGATCTGGACGTGGCAGGGAAAAACCAGCAGCAACTCCAGTGAATGACACAAGCTCAATATTAAAACAATAAAGGTAACAGGCAAAGGCAGACTCTGTGACAGGAGTTAAAAGATATGAAAATGGCTGGCTCTATTTTGTATTTTGCTTAATGTCAACAAATCACATAATGGCCCAAACCAACAATGAACCAATTGTACCAAGTACAGGTGGCGTAGACTGAATTTCATATAGCTACTACTTTGTGCCATCATTGTTTAAAACACATCAGTGAGATAAACTGTTCCACTGGGTGACATACTCCTTCATTACCATGAACACTGCCGTTATAATAAAATCATAGGTCAGTTCCACATATTCAGTACATCTGCTGTAAACACTCATCATGCAGCAGAGTTGTTTTAATCAAATGCAGGTAAATGTACATTTGTTTGCGGTGCACACAGTACTGAACGAGACTAAGAGCCTACAGCCACATTAGTTAGTGGGTCTATAATGGTGCTTTTAGCTAAATTAACACCACCAAAACAGTAATAAATATATACACATGAATCAAATAAAATCAGTATTAATACACTATCACACATTAAAACAATAAAATACACACACAAAATCCACATAAGTAAAATATTAAAACAGTATCCAGCTCACCTGTTAGACACACACAAACTGTAAAGTACAAAATAAAAGCTGTTTAAATTGACAATATCTAAATGCTAATGGCAGCATAATGACAATGCTAACATGCTAATGTTTAGCAGGTGATTTCTATCATTTTCAGGTTGATACTATCACACTGATTTGTGTACAAGTGGTCATTTTTCTAATAAGTTTTAAAAAAAATTGATGACATAAAAGGGGTGTATATTGGATGATTTGACAGTTTTGACTGGTGGGGCCTGATATCGCAGCTACTGTGCAGACTCTGGTTGCATGTGTGGATCGATCCTGAAATATCAATACTTCCGATCCCAGTGTTTCCTCTTCTAAAATTGATTTACATGTTAAAAGATCAATATCTAAAATAAGTAGGCTAAATGTATTTTTAATCTTCAATAGGGATAATAAGGATAATCACCTTTATTGGCCAACTATGTTAGACACAAGGAATTTGTTTCCAGTACAGAACCTAGTCAGCCATCTGCGGCACCAACTCAACCGGTGGCTCTAACCATCAGGGGCAATGGGGGAGTTCAGTGTCTTGCTCAAGGACACTTCGACATGGGGACTGCAGGCACTGAGATTCAAACCTTCAACCTTGTGGTTGGGAGATGACTGCTCTACCCACCGCACTGTCACCTCCCCCACAGGGGACACAGTAGACAGTAACTACGCTACCCAGGACAGTCAAAATTATAACCGCTTGATAGGAACCACTTCTTCTGCCTGTCACAATCATGTGTTACTGAGAACCTCTTGACTTAAAATTTTTCTTATTCTGCAGCGTCTCAGCATTTACAGAGCAGATGTCATATGCAACCAAGATGGCATGTAAAGCGTCCCTGTATGCATGCATATAATATGCATGTAGTCCCGCTGCCAACAGTTCAGTATCGGGGCCATAGAAACACCCCTTCACAGTATGTGAGCAGAGTGGCACCATTTGTTGTTAATAAAAGTAACAAGCCCTTATAGCCCATCTCCCCTTCTCCATCAGTCTCTGTTTAACGGAACTATCACTTTTCCCTCGTTTTGTTGTGCAAAGTATCGGTATTGACCATGACAGCCTGTAATTTAATTGGCATTGGATCGGAAAGGAGTTGCAACACGTGTCACAAAAGAAAGAAGGCTGCCCTATTATTCATAACATTGTTTCACTTTTGGATAGAAGCTGTGGCATGTCGCCCATCTTTATATACAGTCTATGTTTATAATTCTCATTTCACCAGTTCTTCTATAGCAGATCAGCCCCTCTATGTTTTACAGTGCTTGTAGAAAAGGAGATGAATGAGTAAATTAAGTCTGCCTAGAGGAGCTAATCAAGGGCCCCTCCTTGATCAGTGTCCAGAAATGGGGATAGTGATTGTCTCCCTGGGACTCTGGTGACTCTGTTTGACATGCCAGGAGGCTCCTTTAGGCAGAATGCATACAGAAATAATTGAGTGTGGCAGTTAGGAGGTTGTACCAGTGGTGGCGTGTAGTAAAGAGAGACAGATTCCTTTGCGGTTGGGGAAAATCGACTGCTCAAGTTGAGGGAGCAATGTGGAAATAAAGAGCAGGAGAAAAAGATGGTAGAGATGGAAAGGAGAAAGGAAGGAAGGAAGGAAGGAAGGAAGGAAGCGGGGAAAAGAAGCTGAAATTCAAGCAGAGCAGCTCCAGGCAGCAACAACAGACAGAGAAAAGAGGAAGGCAAAGAGTCAAAAAAAGGAAGAGAGTTTTAAATGACGAGGAAAGAAAGGCGAGAAAGAGAGAAAGACCAGAAACCAGAAAGAGGGGCAGATGCCAAACACTACAACTGTTCTCGATGACTAATCTCTGGATGAAACTTCAATTATAGGACAAAGCTAATAAGCAGAGCACCGTGAGTGACAGAGAAGCAGCAAAAGAGAAAACAGGGAATGAGATAAACAAAATCAAGCATAAAAAGAAAAAAATATGTCCAAAAAACCAACAGCACCAGAAGACAGCAGTGAATCACGTGATGATTTACAGATTTGGGTTGTGTTTATTCTTGTAATAAATGATGTGAGGTCCAACAATATGTGTTGCCATCCTGCATAATATAACTGTCAATGCAATATTGTGAAACTGCCTTATAAAGTCTCATAGCTAATTAAAGGGGATTTGTAAAGTATTTCAAAATCAATAAACAACTACAGTATTGATTTAGGGAACTTAGTATAATTACCACAAGTACAAAAGACCAGCAGCATCTTCAGTACATTTCATATTGTCTGCACAAAAACATAAAGGAAACAGAGCTAAAGCTTTTGATGTCAGTTTCTTATCAACTCACAAGACAGAAGCAGGGGACAAAAGACAATATCACCTCCTTATCTATTTAGTTAGCTCATGTTCTGTACACAAGATCAGTGCAGTTATTTAAATTGCTTTGGATTAAATGGTCCACCAGATTAATGTAATGTCTTTGTGAGAGAAAGCAACATTTTTGGTAAATGCAGTTTAATTTTGAGACAAGACATTCTACACTGTTTAGACTATGGTCTCCTTCATTTATTGTAGCTGGCACATGTTAGGCTTGAGAGGACATTGTTCAAATAACATTGGATGACATGAAAAAAGTGTTTGCAGCTGCCTTGAATGCCCAGACTTGAAGGTGGGGAGTACAGAGAGAGCAAGGGAATGCAACTGTAAACATTTCTAGACAGTTTTCAGAAAATAAAATAAAAAAATTCACCATTTGCTGCCATTGTTTTGGAACACAGCTTAAATCTCAGAAACCCATTAAACCAAAATTGTCTGCATAACTGGATGCTGCTAATGGTAACTATGAGCTGATGCTTTTTTGCTATTAGCAGTTCCTGTTTGCATTGTATCTAAGAATATAAAGACTCTCACACTGACACCAAAAAAAGCTACAAAAGTGTTCTATGATTTCTCAGTGGATGTATGGACATTTATTTGCAATGGATATCTGCAAAATATTATGCTGAATCTATATGTGTAATATATCTGTGTTCTCTTCACTTATATGAAAGGCTCTCATTTAAAATGACTGGAGACTGAATAATGTCTTGAAGGTGTGTACTTGGGTACAATTGGGTAAAAGACACCCACCACTATGAGGTTCCACATGCGAGCAGCTTCAGCCACCAGCGTGGAGACGCTGCTGCAGCCAGGCATCAGGACGATCTTGATGGGCTCGGTGTAGAGAAGGTCATACAGCAACTTGGTGGCTTCTCCTGGGTCACACTGGAAGGACAAAATGAGAAAGTGTTTAATGGATGAATGGATGGATCAATAATAAAGAAGAGAAATGAAGTGAGGTGAATGAGACAGAGAGAAAATGGAGCCAGAGAAATACAGGGGGGAGGCAATGGGAGAGATAACAGCAAGGGAGACAGACTGGTGAGGAAAAGGGATGAACAAATAAGCAATAGTGTATGGGAGACGGAGGCGATTGTAAACGGAAAACAAATGATAGTAGATAAAGTAAAGGGAAATGACACAGAAATGGCAAAGAGCAATAAAAAACCCAGATGCAAATGTGAAGAGAAAAATCAAGAAGGTGAAGGAAAAGGACAAGTAAGGGAAATGGAAAGAACAAAACAGACAAGGTCAAGATAAAATGAAAAATGGCAGGAAAGTAGCAGGGAGCCACAAATAAGCAGATGCAAATGCAAAGAGAAAAAATATTATCTGCACAGAGTTCACGTCCGCAGAGACGGCACGTCTCATCAAAACACAACACGCTGTCCTCAGCCCAGGACGCGAAACCAGAAAGACGGGCAGAAACCAAACAGAAGTGAGCCCTGCAACCAAAACAGCACCTATCAGAAGTCATTACAGCCCTTCAATAAAGTCATTTACAGCATGTCTAGGTGGTGAGAGTGTGGCTGGAATGATCCATCAATGCGCTGTCAGCTAGATTACCCACAGGTCGTCACTGCAGCACCGCTCATCAGAGTCACAGATAAACTCGCCTGACACATATAACGATTCAGCAAGGAAGAGAAGATATAGCTCACAAATACGCACATGTACTTAAAAAAAAAAAAAAACACTCCAGACGAGTGTCACAAACAACTGTACTGAGGCAGATGATGGCGATGACCAAATATGACTCCTAATTGAAGTATTCGTCTCAACTGCTGAATTGTCTCTTGGAGGCAGCCCTGTGATTTTTCTGAAGAGGTACTCACCACTCAAGACCCAAGAATACATGGAACAGCTGGGCCTCTTAGTGACTGATGTATTTTCCATTATTTCTAGATTGGGTGGAATTATAGTGGTGTCATGTCATTGCAGAAAAAGGCAGGACATTTACATGCACCTAGATAATTCAATCTGAACCCTGTAAAAGTTTCATAGTACAAGGTTCCTGTATGGTCTCCGCTGGAGACAACTGTCTTGGAACAAGGGCAGTTGCTGCATAAAGCCAGACATCATCATACAGTACATCATAAAGCTGAGCTCTGACCGCTGATGTTCTTACTTAAATGTCACTATGTGATTTCCTTTATTGATCGCATTTTAAATTAAAAAATGCTTTTATTTATTGCTTTACTTCAAGTCCTTTGGGACATGTTTATTCAGACAGTAGCATCATGGTGATTATCACCGTAGACTGCAGAAAACAAAGAAAAGATGGTCACAGTGAGCAACATTTTAACTGTGTGATAAACCTATGTCCATTTCTATAATAAACTGTTGAAGCTTTTAGCGCTCATTGGCTTCTTACCGTTAAGTCATGTAAGATCATTTTGCATCACCTTGTGAACCGCTGCTGTCTGACTTAATTGGCTTTAACAAGTGCACAACCACTTTCACACCACGGCTTCCGCAACCAGTACATTCCATTAACACCTAGACGTTTTCAAAAGGGATAGGGCTTTAAAACAAGCAGTGGATGGGGTGGGGGTGGGGGTGGTGGGCTTGCCAGCTGTGTAGCACAGCTGCCAGGAAATAATAGATCTGCCATCAGCTGTTTGCTGGATATTTTCTGAAAGGATGTTTTGCAGCTTAGGAGCGTGGCTTATCATTGCAGCCATTTTAACAACAAATTGGCTGTGCCAAAAAATGACACTGATTACAGTCAAATTTGGTGGCGTTAAGATGAGGCAAGCAACAGTCAACCAAGACAAATTATTGTTTGGATACAGTATCTTGTGATACTCCACTTTTTAATACCAATTACCCACTCTTGATATGCTTCAAAGTGGCTGTTAACAGCATCTTTGATGAGCTTCCATGTCTACTTTCCAGTTGACTGCAAACCTAGTTTGGTATTTTGGTACTAGATTTTTTTTGTTACTTACGGACCAACATTTACACGGCAATAAGCTAATACTGGCTGATACAGCCAATTTATTGGTCTGACTCTATTTAGTACCATCATGAATATTAAATTGTATAAAGAATAATGAATTAATATAAAATACTCCTGTCACTGTCAAACAAAACATAAATGTCAAAAATATACCAGATACATTGAACAACAGCACAGTATACAACCAAAACTGTGGCCTAGGAGCAAAGACATATACCTAGTAAACCACGACATGATGTTTAAATCCAACAAGGGATGTTTTTTTTTACAAGTCATTCCCCTGTTCTCCACATGTCCCTCCTGCCTCTAATTTGTATACTATCAACTAAAGGCAAAATTCCCTAAACAGAACTGGGTTGCTTAGACTGCTGCCCCCACGACCCGGTTCCAGATAAGCGGAGGAAAATGGATGGATGGATGGATGGATGGAAGAAGAAGCAGAAGAAAAAGAAGAAGACGACGACAATGGCCTTAAAAGATTTGGTGGCAGTCCACCAAATCTTCAAAACCTTTATGTCTACATTCATCAGTGTCTAACCATCAGAAAAAGTCCATTATTGTGAACTAAACACAGCAACACAAAAGACTGGTGGGTGTTAAAGGATAACAGGCACCATTCAAGCCAAGAGGACCTGAGTATGACACTAGAAACATTAGAGTGGACTTTCAAACCCTCTGCACTGGCTTTAAAATTTAGTATGATGGTTGCTGCTTGATCCCCAAAACAGGCAGCAGAGCAACAGCAAAATAAATCAGTGCAGAAATCCTGTTCCTTGTCATGAAAAGATTGCCCTAAGCTGATTACTTTATCAAATTAAAATTTTGAAGAGCATGCCAGTAAAACTACTCACCAAGTCTACCGGCATGCACTGCTGACTGTCCTTGATTCATTGTATTAATAGCATTAGCACTGACTGTGAAAGCATACTGATGTCATCTAGAATAAGGCAATCCTGTGAAATGGAGAGCAGAGAGACTGCGGGTTTTTCTTTCAATCAATCACTACAACAGTTGATTTCATAGATCACTTCCTCCTTGCCTGTGTTTCTGGGTGAAATCAGCTGCTGCAGTGCTGAGCTGGTTCCAAACCTGCAGCCTGATTCTTCATAAAACTAACTGCTGTGCTACTTCACATGAGGGAGATGCAAATTGACACACAGACCTTTCTGAACACTGTCTTTCCTGAAGGTTGTTTGTGTTCTCTGTCACTGTGGCTGTGGGCTGGCTGCATGCTGAGAAAAAGCTTGTTAGCATTCTGGTGTTAGGGTTTTAACTTTACTCTGACAAGCGGTAATTCATTGCCTACGCTGATTATCTTTAAATGATTTAATCAATGTGTCACACACCATCCAACATCACAGCTTTTAATAAAAGCTTGTTGAAATCATTTTTCCAAATAGCTCACTTCAGAACATGTAGAAATTAGAATTGCATTAAACAGTATTGATTCTGACCTCATGAAGGTTATTTCAGTGTTCAGACCAGAACCCCGTCTAGTCAAAATTATGTTTCAATGTACTGTCTAGCAATCAAACAAAATACTTTTGAACACTTGTTTGTATTTTGAACTGGAATAAAGCTGGCAACTGTCTAGACTGCAAAGTTTAGCAAAGTTTAAATATAGTTACGATAACAGTTTTAGCTGCAGAGAAAAAGGAGTAATATATGTTGGAAACTAGCGTTGGTGAGAAAAACAGGTTTAATGTGTGGTAAACCTGCGGGATACCCAATCACTAGCAGCCAAACTTAGCTTTAAAAAGTTCATTCATGCCTCTGTCAACCTACATAACATAGGTGACCCTGAGATCTTTGAGTGTAATGGGTCAAATGTCCCTCATTCTGTAAAAAAACTCATAAATGTAAGAGCAAACAGAGGAGAAGAAGCAATAGCATGGGCTTAACCTGTCTTAATACTTCTTTAGATATTATGCCTTAAATTTGCAGGAAGCATGGTGCTAAAACAGGGCTTGGGGATTAATCAAATTTTATTTTCAGTTACAACTTTGTTTTCCAACAATTATGAAGACAAAAATAATTGAGATAAAACAATTATTATACCATACTCTATTTCGCTACGATGCTCTAATTTTGTCCTGTGTTATAAATCCAGCGCACCCCTTCAGCACTCTCCAGTGCAAGCATGTTTTGGTTGCATCCAGTGAAGTGAAACATGACTCGAGTTGACAACAGCTAAGCTTGTTACTATATGTGCAATAGAACCTCCGCAAGTAAAATGTCAGTAAGAGTAATCTATCAAAACTCCTGCTAAATGAGCATAAACTTGTACAGAAGTGATCATTTCAGATTTGCCTGCAGTCTGCCATCCACCACCAGTCTGTTAACCATATCTAGCTTGTTAAGCTAATACCTCATTTTTATGCACAAGCTAAAATGAAATATGACTGCAGCCTTCTGCTAAATGAGAAGGAGAGAGATGGATGTGGCTGTGTCATGGTGAGCCCAGCAGACTGAGTCATTCTGTAGGTTATGACAGGCAATGCTGTCAACCTTAAGTAGCAAAGTTTTATTTGTAAAATGAATGTAGGCTAATAAGTAATTTCCTCTGAACTGTCAATCACATTTAGGTAGATGAATTAATTAATTTGTTCTTCAGCTGAATCATTTAAACTTCAAGAAAACCCACTGTTAAAAGACAAGTTTTCTTTTTTAAGTTCAATAAATCCATAATGTTTCCAAAGTGTGAAATAATCATGGTGTCAGTACTGGCCAATATAATCGTGAGTATGATTTTTGCCATAAGTGCAGCCCTGCATTTACATTCTGATGTTAAAACCTTTCAAGCCACAGCTTGAAGCTGATTTTGGTCTTTTTAACAGGCTTTTTAACATGTTAACAGGCTGTGAAGGTCTAGAAAAAAGGGGCCTAGTCTCGATTATAACTGCAAAATGGCATCAGACTCTACAGGTGAACCTTTCATTCACCATTTTCTATGAGCACAGGAAATGAAACCTATGGCTAGAACAATGGGAACACCAAATAGTAAAAGTAAAAAAGCACACATTCCCCATTTGAAGAAGAAGAAAAAACAGACAGGTGCTGGCAGGTGTGCAATAAAGGCTGAGGAATCTCTGCTATTCTTGGGAGTCTGTCTTCTACAACCCTCTGGGGCCATTGCCATTTCCACTTTCATTTCTAGCTTCGCCTCATGAGAGTATCTGGAGTGACGGCACTGATGCCATTCACATACACATTCATGGACACATTTACTGACAGACACACATGCATAGATAAGTGTGTGTACACAGCAGTAAAAGTGCACTCGTACAGCTGCACACATACATGACATAGCACCGGCACTCCCATCGCTGTCCTTGGTTCTGAAATTCCCCAAACCAATAACGGTGTGGATGTTAACATGTCGATGTAGCCTATCCAATCAGTCAAACCCAGCCTGCAAAAGCTTCCGAAAGCAACTGAAGGGTCCCTGGGCTGGTAAGAATGGGAGAAGCCACATGCTCATCATAATACATTCTCTAATTACACTCCAGATTGATGAAAACAAGAGCCTGAAGTGGGGATAAGGGCCTGGGGAACAGCCTATGTGTTGAATCCCAAAGCATGCATAGCGACATCTCCTAATTTCCACATAATTACATCTGGCTTCCCACACCAGGCTCTTACAGCAACGGACATGCGCAAGAACCAGTGATGAATACTGGTAATGCTCTTCTCCCTATACACCAATGACTGTACCTCAGGGGACCCCACGTTAAGCTCTTGAAGTTCTCAGATGACACAATGGTCATTGGTTTCATCCGAGATGGTGCCGAGTCTATGTACAGACAGAAGGTTGAACAGCTGGTCCTGTGGTGTGGTCACAACAACCTGGAGCTCAACATGCTCAAAACAGTGGAGATGACAGTGGACTTCAGGGGAGCACCTCACCATACTCAGCAGCACTGTATCATCAGTGGGGTCCTTCAAGCTCCTGGGCCCCACTATCTCCCAGGACCTGAAGTGGATATCCAACATCAGGACCATCATCAAGAAGGCACAGCAGAGAGACCTGCCCCAGGAGCTGTTGATACAGTTCTACAGAGGAATCATCGAGTCTGTTCCCTGCACCTCCATCACTGTCTGGTTTGGTTCAGGAACCAAACAGGACAAGTACAGACTTCAGAGGACAGTCAGGACTGAAGAAAAGGTCATTAGTGTGAGCCTGCCCTCCATGGAGGACCTGTACACCTCACGGGTCAAAAGGAGGGCAGAGAAGATCTTTGCACACCCTGGACACAATCTGTTTGAACTCCTCCCCTCTGGACGGTGTTACAGGTCACTGTGAACCAAGACAACCAGGCACAGGGACAGTTTCTTCCCCCGGGTTATCACTCTGATGAACACTTAACCAACGACAGTATGACTGGACACAGCAATAAACTGTACATATAACCACTGCATATATCAGTATGAAAGCTGTTTTGCCATAATGTATATATACTATAAGTACTGTCTCTTTTCCTATTTTTGATTTCACATATTTCCTATTTAGGGGGTGGGGTACACATTTTTTCCATTGTTTTGACTTTTTTATTTTCTATTTCCTGTTACCTCACAACACAATAACAGCCTCTGTACCAGAGTCAAATTCCTTCTATGTTCAAACATACTTTACCATTAAAGACAATTCCAATTCTGAAATGATGTCACAGCTGCCAATTAAAGTAAAGGTGTGGAAAGTGAGGGAAGCACCTTGTTCAACCGTTTTTCTCTGTCGCCACTGTCTCACTCCATCACGGTTAATAATTGATCAAAGTTTGCAGTCTCAGCTTTGATATATCCATGGCAACGGAAAATGTGTGTGTCTGCACGTACTGTGTGTGTGTAAGTGCGTCTGTCTGTGTGTGTAGATCTCAGAAGGCTGTAAATAGTCTGATGCTGCTGCCAGAATAGCCAGAGAAACAAGCCATTCTGCTACCACAGGGTATCTGCATCCATTAAAAGTACAGGCTGGGATTAAGTGTTGAGCTTCATGAATATTGTATGATCTTGTACAAGCGGAGGACATAGCTTGATACTCCCAACCCTAATGGTCACAAACTGGTGCATCTGTGTGTCTGTGTGTGTGCAGGCACCTGCTTACCAAATCCAAGTCCATCTTTAATGCATGTCTTTTATTCAATACTGCTGTTAGACTTTAAAAAGGCAATAAAAAAAAAAGTTCTTCATCATGATAACAAATTCAGTTCAAGACTGTCTGCTGCATAATTCTCCTGCCTTGATTTCGAAATGCAAGCAAACAAAGAGCCAGTTGCACCCTTGTCTTAATCTCACACTTAAACAAAGACTTGCACTCACGAGGTGATCGGCTCTCTGACCAAACAAGCTGTAATAAGTGGATGTCAATATCATAGCTAATTAATCCCTTTTCTTATAATTGCTTTTCCGCCTCTCAGGGGTTAAGATCCTATTTACTATTCCAGCCAGGCAAAAAATGTTTGCAATCATAAGATAAAAACGCCATTCCAAACACACTGTACCCAAGGCAAGAGTAATAAATTCCCTCCTCGACTTAATTCAAGGAATTAACCAGCGTCACTCAGACAATGTCATACCAGCCTCACTGAGCCATTCTATTCAAAGGATCTGCATCTATTTCTCAAGCCAGAGGCACCGACGACTCCTATAGCAAGAAGAGTGATGTTTTCTAGTCCTTGTGAAATCTCTTAGTGCATTTGCTTTATATTTATGTATATGGCAGCTACATCTACAGCTGCCTGCTCCACCACACTTCTAATCAGAGCATGCAGGAACACAAAGACACACACATATTTGATCTGTTTAGCATTTGACTGCAAAAACCAAGGTCTATATATAACAGAATGGGAATAAGCACGAGCTGTACTATTGGCTCTGCATATGAAGCGTATGAATTTGTACACATATTTTCACAGAGCTGAAACCTTATTTGTTTCTGTGGTTTGCTTCAAGAGTATCTGTGTTGCCATGCCAACTCTCCCTCTCTCCATCTCTCACACACGCACGCACACACTCTGTGCTCTCTCCCTGCTATTCTGTTTAACAGGATTCCAATGCAGAGCCCTGTACACCAATCAGAGTACAGCTCGTAGCAAATTTCTAACCAGTCCCAGTACAGTTAACTGTTTGGTGCCCCTGCCACTCTTCAGGCATCTGTCCTACAGCCTGATTGATAAGGACCCTCCAGAAAGGAGACAAGGGGGAAATCCAGTGATTGTTTTCATGTGCCTGCACTCATCCCTCTGCTGAGGAAAAGATGGTTCCTTTAGGGTGGGAAATTTCTAGATAACAACTGCAGCAAGGTGGTGCAAATAAAACGCTTTTTACAAAGATAAATAGTGTGCTTTTTGGTCAAAGTCTGTGTGAGTGTGGTAGGTGGTAAAGTGGGGCAGGGAGGGGAAATGAAACCAGTCGGGGGCGGATATTGGATTTATAGTGGTTGATATGCTGACATTTTCAAATACCACCATGGTTAATGATTGATGAGCAACAAGCAGGGGCTGTGTGTTAATTTAGCACAAACCAGCACTGTACATAGCATGGCAGCCCATTTGTACAAGGAGAGTTAGGACTTGAGTGTAATTTATCTTCTTTTAAGAAAGCTCTCCTTTAAGATGTTGTTCCTGAAAAGCCAGGCTATCCAACTGTTTGGCAGAGTCAAATTTCATGTACCTGCCATGACTCGTGAGAAAGGCAGGACTGAAATTCAAATACGTTACAGAGTCACAAAAGGTTGTTTGCAGGACAAAACATGAAAATTAAAACACGCCAGTGATGATAAATGATGTACAGCACACAAAATGACACAACAGGTTCAGATTCTCATCTTAATTCGAGAGGCTGATCATTAGATCCCTGGCTGACTGACACCACACACCACTTAAGTGCGCACCTCCTCTGACTCTCTTCCACATGCACTCACCATGCTGTCGAAGTGGATGAGCTCCAGCTCGTAGTCAGGCAGGATGTCGGTCCTGTTGTTCACCAGGTCCAGTGCCATCTGAGCGGAAGGCATGCACGCCTGACCACCGGGCCAGCCTCCGCTCATGGGGAACAGGGCTCCGATGTACAGCTTCTTCTTGCCTGCGGACGGCCGTGGCCAGAGGAGGAGAAGAGCGATGAGAGATGCCCGAAGGAACATGGCATGCCCGCGGGGTGCACGAGTTGCCCGCGGAGGGCTCCTGCTCATTACCAGCATGGTTCAAGGTGAGTGGATCCGGGGCAGGTTGACCCCGGTGCTGCAGCGGAGTCAAACCGGGCAAAGGTTATTTTAGGTGCGAATTTTACTACTAAAATTTAGACTAAATGAATTCAACACGTGTCCGGGTCGTTGACAAAACCTACGAATGAGTCAGGATTGATGTCAAGCTTTGCAGGTTTTGTTTATGCCACCTAAATGCAAACGTTTAACGAATCGAGCAAATAATTTAGTCCGCGTATAATTTAGCATAATGCATGGTTAATTATACACTGCATGCTGGAGATTTTCGGGACAAAGTCAAACACAGTTCAGTCAGTATCGTGAAGACGATGCTGATCGCCTCGAGATGCTCATCGGTCAAGTTTCAAACGAACCTCATTACGATACACTTCCACACATTTAGCGTGACATCCATGGACTAAAATGGATTAATGGATAGCTTTCTGCACGCAATCAATCATGAATATTAGATAGCGCGTCCCTTTCTCACGACTTTTACGCAAAAAGGACGCGCGAATTAGACACTAGCGTCCGCTCAGATCACGTCAATCGGGTCAAACCGGTGCGGACTGGGAGCTGCGCCTAAAAAAAACCGTAAGACTGGAGTGTGACCTGAAAGATGTAGCAGCGGAAATAGAAGGCAACATCTCCTCCTTTTTAAAGCAGCCGTATTCCGACAGATGAAACGATTTATCGCAGAAAAGCAGGCGCGCTAGAGCTCTGCGTCTGATCCACTGCAGCACCGGCTGGCTGAGTGTGTGTGCGTGTGAGAGAGAGGAGACGAGAGAGGGAGCCAGGAATGCATGCTGAGGGAGAGGAGAGAGAGAGAGAGAGAGAGAGAGAGGGATGGATGGATGGTTGGTTGGTTGGGAGGGGGCTCTGGGCTAAATCTCCTCAAAGATTTTCTAACGAGCTACACGCTGAGCTTAACTTCAACATTAGCTACATCAATTTCGCAAGAGTCTCGCACAACCTCATTTTGTCACATTTCCTTCTCGGCATTTGGCGTCTTACTCTCATCACTGCTGCGAGCTGCTGGCTCACACTGCTGGTGTTGGGTTAAAGGCCAATTTAGAAAACACCCAGAGTCCCCTTCAAGCAGGCTAAGAATGAGTCTATCCATTAGCAGGTAAGGTGTGAAATGGTGAAAGTCATTATAACATCAGTAATGACTAATATGGTTTTACAGCTGTAGCCTAATCAAAATTATATAAAATAATCAAACTGCTGATTAAATCATAGACAATGCATAAATGTGTTCCACTGTCTGTATTTAATTAGCAACTCTTGAACTAAATAATTTGATTAGTTTTCCATTAACATTTGCTCTGAATTCATTTACACAACATAACAGAACATGACCATAATGTTACAATTCAAACGTTGCTTATTCAATTATAGCAAATTATATTTTCAAAATAAATGCTTGATTGTCAGTGAGAACATTCTAATGGATTTAGATTTAGGGCTGCAAATAATATAAATATTTTATATTTATCGAATGATCTGAAGATTCATTTTGATCTGTTAATCACTTAGTTTATTCAATGGCAGAAAATAATAATAATGTAGCCGGGTGGTAAACGTTTTCTAAGGGGAGATAAATAAATAACTAGATAGTTTTCCACTTATGGTGGGGTGTCCCCTGGGGGTTCTTAAGGTTCATGTTTTCCTGTTGATGTAACATTGTTTAGTTTTGTAATGTGGGGATAACTTAGTAGTGGGCTGCTGGAGTCTGATGTCACCTTGGCCACTAGATGGCAGTACTGAACGAGATGTGTACGTTCCGCCAAAACTTGGCCAAGTGCATTATGGTCCCTTCCTTCTTTACGTTTGGACTGAGGTTAAAAGTGGAGCACTGTAACTTTTTTAACCTCTGTACGTATGTCAATATGCAAGTAAATATGCCCAAATCTTGTTGGAATCTGTTGTATTAATACTTTCAAGAAGTAATCTATCAGTATCCTTACAAGATGGTGTATTAGAGATGCTGATGGTGCTGGCGGCATGGTGTCAGGCCAACAGCCCAAAGTCCAAAGATCCTCAGTTTACATGTTATAAAATAAACAAAAACAGCAAATCCTAACGTCTGATAAGCCCAAACTATGTAGACTAATATTTGGCATTATGTTTGAAAATTATCCACCTTAACAGTTAATCATTATCAAAATAGCTGCAGATAAATGTTGACAAATCAATGCATCAGTTAGACATGTTTGTAGTTGTAAATCACATTAAATTAACTACATTGCAATCATATGTATATGTAAAGAAGGTGCTTTTTAGCATCTAATCATATCAGTGCAAACAGCAGCAAAGCACATGTAGATATGCCGTGAATTAATGTACAGTATGTAGTGTATACTAAAGCAGTGGGGTAGTATAATAATGAGGGATGCAATTGTGCCCCAAAATGTATATGTCAAACGATAAACCAGTGTGCATAACCAGTGTGCATAATGCATAGCATCAGTGAATGCAGCGATCACATGCCATTAATGCAAGGTTAGACATCAAGCTACATGAAACTAGTAGCTGTGTGAAAAGTAAAGTTATTACGTAGAGCTGAACAGACGTCATATGAGCCCCATGTAGTATCAGCAGAGGCTTCAACATGCCAGTGCTTTGAGCTACACGCCAAAATCAGGATGCTAACATGCTCACAATGAGAAGGCTAACATGGTGTTTAGCCGCAATAATATTAACTATGTTCAGTGTCTTAATTTAGTGTGTTAGCAATGCTAATTATCACTTAAGTATAACGGGGGCTGACAGGGATATCTAGTGTTTACCATAAACCAAATTTAGACTAAACTGATTTAGACAAAAGGCTAAATAATCACAGCTGTTTTTACTTGACATCTTGAGGGGAACATGAATATCAGCATCAAATTTTATGGCAATCGGTCCAAAGGTTGCAGACATATTTCACTAATAAGTGTGATTCTCATGGTGGTGCAAAAACAAAAGTTAGGGGATTGCTAAAGTTAGCAGGATTCATCCTCTGCACAAAATTTCATGGCAATCCATCTAGCAGTTGTTCAGATATTTGAGTCTGGACCAAAGTGGGGGCTCTTCCAACTGACAAACCACTGCCATATCTTATTTGTTCTGCTCTTAGGACCTACGTAATCAACTACAGTCATTTAAATGCCATAGAAACTATATTTAACCTAAGGATTTTTGGAATTTCAGCATTCAGAAATGCATTCATGGGGTTTCTGCAAATCAATAACTCCATGCTTACACTAGCATACTGCACACAAGCAGTGTGCAACTCAGTCTGTGACCACCTCTGCTAATTCATAGACCATTTCATCTCTACCTCCCCTCTGTGGCAAAGTCTATAAAATTATGTTTTGCTGCTTTGAGAAATCAGCAAAAAATGTGGTAGGCGGTATCAATCATGACGGATTTTATTTGTCTTCATCTCTGAGAAGAGCAGAAAACGGTGATGTAGTTAGTGTGGAGAAGAGGCAGACTACAGGACTCTACTGCACACCTGCTGTTTCAACCCTGTGTCCACAAAAGGTCCCTGTCTCTGACACACAGAGACAACCGTGGACACACACACACACACACACACACACACACACACACACACTGCTTCCTACTCATAAACTCGCACATACTGTACACGAACACATACATAAAGAACCAGGCACAATGGGCTTTAGGCCTTTATACATGAACTGAATTATCATACAGCTGGTTTTCATTTGTGTCCTCTAAAAAGAACCTTTGATGTTTTGGGAGATGCATCTGCCAGCATCATTTGATATCAACGAAGTATGTGAGAAAGCTCAACAACTTGTTGAAAAAGTGAAAAGACACTGTAGTCGCAAAAATACCTTTTGCCATTTTCAGTGTAGCCTATTAACATTAGTGTCTAAACCTTGGTTCCTATTTATGCTCAGCTCTTGTATAAGTGCTCTAATTGCAATATGATGTTGCATTCAAGTTCCCTTTTGAAAATTACTTATTGCACAATTGAGAAGAAGACCATTATTTTTTCAGTCTAAATTAAAAACCCTCTGTACTTAGACAATGGAATATGACTATTATGTAACTGGTTCATTACCCAAATCTCATTATCTGGATATCTCCATGTAGCAGAGAGCTGTTCAGATCTACATGTAGCTGCTAACAAGCCTTCACAGGCTGAGGTGAGTGTAGTGATCATCTGCTGGCATTTGCCTTCCACTTCCACCTCCTCATTCTCTCTCCCATCCCATGACCCATCCAACGCACATCAATTATTCAGCTGTGAACTTTATACACTGCAGACAACACAGGCAAGATGCACCAGCATCGGCCAGTGCGGCGTTAACAACCCCCCTGGTGGCAAATGCCACATTCAGAGAAGAGCTGTGGCACAGCCTGTGAAAAGAAACACTGGAGACATGAGTTCTGTAACATGTTGCTGAGCCACTTTAATGAGGGCCCTCTACTGTATATTTGTGTATCTGCAGTTTGCACACTGGGCGTCCTTCAGGATAATGGCCTTTTCCTCCTGGCAGATGCGTTGGTGGGTAAAATACTGTTTTCAATGTTTCCTTTTTAACACAGTTGCCAGATTACATTGTCCTTTGCCTGTATAGTACATTTTATTTTTACTAAGGGAGCAATCCAAATCATTTTGAAATTCTCTGACACAACATATTTTGTAATATCAATCTGCTGCTGCAAGACTTGGATAGTTTTAGGCACAAGGTTTTCTCCCCACAATTCTGACAGTACAAGTCATATCCAGTTTCTATGTGCAGAGATCAGGCTTTGGTCAAGGTGTAATCAAAATCCATTCTTTGTGTTTGTTTAACTTGCAGCAGCTTGTTAGAGCAGATGGGCAAAGTGGAAACTCAAGTTGCAGTATGACAAGTATTTATTAATAGATGTATAAATGTTGGCTGGGGTGCTAGAAAAATAATATTTAGCAGGCAACGAAAAGCACATAGATACAGTATCCTCATTGCATCATTTGTACCACACACTACCTCGTTTCCTGCAGTCTGCAGCATCACAGTTATCAGAGTAACATATCATGCCTGAGTATCAAGGTCAGCAATATTAAGTTATTTGTTCAACTGCAAAAATACCATGCCACTAGGGCATAACTTTGTAGCAGTCAGTAAATAGTTGTGTATTTTTATGAATACAACTATGACAAATGCAATGACTCCATATTTTCTGAATGCCAAAAATCTGTATTTATCATCTTTGAAATCTCATTATTAACACTCGCAAGGCTCAAATTCACATTTCCATCAGGTGAAAGTTAAAATCATGGAAATCCCTTTTTTAAATTTTTAGCTTAACATTTTGGAACAAACTTTTCACAGAACCTATACTAATTACTGCATGTAGTACATATGAGCAGTTTGCCTTGTTGCATGTTTCTAACATCCTGTGATACTGCAGAGATAACACACATACCTGATTTACAGCTAAATCCCAAAGAGGCAATCACCTAATGGTGACATACAGTACATATAAGCTGCATTCCCACTAAAGGAACCTAACGAGCAGTATACCCTGTAGTTCCCTTAACCATCACCAAGCATAGCCTCCGGGGTTGACGCGGACCATCCTGCTTTGTTTTTGGACTGTATTTTCTCTGTGTCGGTCTCTGTTTTGAGGAGGGAGGGGCTGCTCCTTCTCCAGCACGTAGTCAGCTGTGTGTTTAGACGCAATGCTAATGCTTGAGGTGTGAAGACACAGATGTTTAACCAATCACAGACTACTGCTCTGTGTGCAAGTGTCCTGTCCCCCCCTTCGTGTTCCTGGTACTTGATTTTAGTACTACCTCTTGAGGGGTGCCACAGTTTTAGCTCCTGGAACGCGCCTCTAAAGTGAGTCAAGTGTGGTGGAAACAAAAACAGAACAAGTGACGAACGTTACTCGGCGCAACACGTTTCGGTAGGTTCCTGTAATGAAAAAGCCCTGTAAGGTATAGAATCCTGCCTGTACTAATAAGTATTTTCTGTGGTACCAAAGTCTGATGTAGCTTATTCATCAGTGCCAAAGATTTGCATTACTATAAAAACATATCAGTGAGCCTTAATGTTACTTAATTCCAACACACATGGGAACTGTAGTTTATTTTGAGTCAGTCCCACAAACATTGTCCTGCAGCCAATGTGCATTAATTCACCACTAAAAATAGTCCCCAGTAAATGCAGCTTGTGTCCCTGTTTGGGTGACATTTGCTAACTACCCTTTTTTAATTGCTTCATTAAAATTGTAACTTTATATTTTTTTGGCATACGTGATTATTTTCATTATACATTTTACACTTTTGTTTTAATTGTCAAAAAAAAAACCCATCTCAACTTTGCAGAGCTGAAAATACCATCTTTAAATTGTTTTTGAACATCAGTGCAGGTCTACAGCACAGATGAATAAGCTAACCCAGGACTGAGAGACATTAATCATGAGTAGAGGCAAATCAATTTTGATTTTAGTCTGTGTTTGGGGAGTACTGTAATATTGTTAATATAGAAAATGATCAGACTTATCCTTTAAATATCTTTTTTTTTAACCAAAAGTTCAAATATGCAAAATTATTTAGTTTTCTATGACATATGAAGGACAAATTTACAGAATAGTTTGCATAGTTTCACTATTTTTGCTGGAAAACTGTGAAGATAATTAAATGTTAATCATTTTTCAAAGTAGTTGTTGAACTAAACATTTAATGGACTAACTAACACACACACACACAGAGATTCTGGGTAATCTGCACAAAAAGTCAAAAACATACCTGAATAATTTACTTGTAGGCTTTTTTTAATAGATGAAATGATGAGGAACATAGCACTGACTGGGTTTTTCTTTTTTTTTTGTTTATAAAGATCTCTGTCTTCAGTAAAGTCAGCAGCAAGTCGGAAAATATAGGGAGATGGATCAATGGACCACTGGATTCCAAAAAAAGATAAGAATAATTTATTCATCATTTGATGCCTGCTAGTGGTTCTAAAATCTACAAATACAATATAATCTTTAAAAAGAATTAACAGAAGTATCTAAAATTATAATAGTTTTTTGGCTTTTTATTTTTGCATTTGGCACAGCTGAAGAAACTGGATAGGAGCTATAGTAGCTTGTTATGCCGTATTGATTGTGAAGCTATGGTTGTGTTTTGCTGTACTTGGAGAAAACGCAGAAATTTGAGAAGCAATCCTACTCCGTACACACACATGCGCGCACACACACACACACACAGGGTAGAGCAGACACAGACAGGAGCAGGGTATTAACCTTTCTCCCGCTGAGGCGGCAGTAAGTGGGTGGTGATGGCACATTGAGTGGAGAGAGACAGAGCAGAACCAGAAGGAGGTCAGCATTGAGACAGTAGATGGAAATTTCTATTTATGGAAACGGTGCTCTCCGCTGCTTTGTTAATTATGTGTTTGTCAAGTCTGTCTGCGACATTTGGAAAGTTTTTATCAGAAACTTATGGGATTACTTACATAAAACTATATCGTCTGTCAGGTTCAGTGTTGCGTATGGTGCGTGCAGGGAGTGTTTGGCTTATGAAACGCAAGCACAGGTTTATGCCTAATGCATTAGAGCAACAGTGCAGTGTTGTGAGCCTTACACGAGTGTATGATTCAATATGTGGCCAATTCCAAATGTGGTGACATATCTATGCAAGAGGGTGAGCCCGTCTGCAACAGTAACAAATGTATTCATAATTCTTGCCAGGGATCAGATATAATGGCTGTACTAGTAGATGTTTTGACCCTTTATTTTTACAGTGAAGGCTGACTAAGCACATTAGTTCATTTTCAGAAATGACCTGCTGCTATTTCATACACTTTTACACTCACAGAACAGAAATACACTGCGGTATTGGCACTGCATGTACTGAGGTAGGAGACCACAATGTTCCACACCTACTCTAATGTTTTCATTCTTCAAAATCCATTCTAGCTATAGAGGGCAGAGCAAAGTAATAAGAATGCGCAATCTTTATTAAACTTTTGGAATTCAAATTAAATTAAGTTTGGACGATTTGCATTAGAAATGCCATTTCATTATTGATGCTAATAGGCTGATTAAATAGACAATCTTCATGCTCAGTGCTTTGATTCAGAAAAGAAGGATTTGCTCAATACTCAGGGGTGGAAACATAATGTTCCTCATGTAATGGGCTGGTAAGGAACAGAGGGAAATACTGTCAGCCCTGTAACAAGTATGCTTTCTGATATTAGATGAAAACTTATTTCTGTTAACTACCATAAGCTTACAGATTTGAATAGAAGTGGATTATAAACGAATGTTTCTGCTAATATAAAAAAAAACAAACACATTTTTCATAGATGAGGTTTCCTTTTCCCCATGAAGCCAGATTTTCTCAGCGGGTTTAAACCTTCAGCTACAGAGCAGCCACTGCTTTAGGCTACTGCTGCCCCAAATGGAGACATGTCGAGTTCGGCCATTTTCTCAAAGATCACTGCTGCCCTCTTGTGGTGATAGTACACCTTGCAGCTGCAACATTTTGTGCAGATTTACCTGAAGCACACTAAAAGTCAGAGATACAATATCTATGTGAACAGTTACATTCAAATACATACTATTAACCATAGGAACAAGCAGAATGGAGAAAAGATGTGTGAGCTAGGTGAGACTGAAGATGAAGTCCCTTTCATGATTTAAAAGGTATTATTTCTAGTGAAAAGGTTTCTGGTGGAAAACGTCATTGTTTTGCAGTGTAATGTTATACACAAAATGTTTAATGAATGTTGCACCATATCGCCTTTATGTTTTAGTGCCATGTAAATTAATGTGGGTTGAGCAGGTGTACTGTATGCGCATGACATTAAATTGTGTTAAAATTGCAGGTAGTAGAATTTAATTAGTGTGGATGTGATAAAATGAATGAAAAATTCTTACCTGTGTAGTTTCTGTCATCTTTGCCAGGCAAATTGAGAAAGAGGAAAAGAGTTGGTTAAAAACACAATGAGATATGGTGGAGTAAAGTCCAAGATTGAGATGACTTCCCTCCACTAGATGGCAGTGATACAATATTCTAACTGTCCTGAGAAAAGCACTGTGCCAAGCGGTAAAGCCTGGCAGGAGGTTCCTAACGAGATATTATATAAAACTCTGATATACTGTGAGGCATACAAAAAAGCTTTACCTCTCATACAGTTACATAGTGTAGGTACACTAGGAAATCTCGCAGAGATTTAAAATAGATTTAAACAGCAGCTGAGCCCTTTTTAGTGTTTAAGTGAATAATAAAGCACTTATAAAATGATTTTTAAGGGATTATACAATAAGTAGCCTACTTTCAGTTGCCCAGGCCAACTGTGCTGATAAATCCCTCATTCATCCCTTTTAATACCATCATTCCCATAGCAACTTTACTGGTTGCCATGCCAACTGCTCTGATAACCAGTTGGCAATCGCATTTCTTTCACTTCTTTGTTTCATCTATTTTTTTTCTTTCATCTCCATTTATTTGCACTGATTTGGACAAACCTCAGATAGGACATAAGCCAACTGTTGTAGCTGGGAGCACTCTGGGGTGTCAACAATATAGCACAGCCTCTTGGCATATTCATTGAGTATTTTTCCCGATTATAGTTTAACGTATGGGACATCAGTGTTTCACTTGTATTCATCACTGCTTTTATGTGCCTGTGCTGGCAGTACAGACTCTGATTACACTCTGATTGGCCAGATCATTTATCGCCTAGCAACCATGCTCCACCATTGGGAGAGCAGGTGTTTGTATGTTCCCATTTTTGTGAAGCAGACAGGAAAAGCTAAATGAGCCATGTCTATCTGATGAAACAGCGCTCATTGTGTTATTCATTTGATTGTCTGCCAAATAATTTAATTAATTAAAAAACAAGAATCAGCTAGAGGTTTACATTTAATTCACATATTTACAATTTAACATTTACATTAATTATAAAATTTACCATTGTTAACCAGAAAATACAGTAAAAATAAATGCCCATAACTGACTGTAGACCAAGAGGATGTCTTTAAAATGCGACAATTCTAAAATTCAGTATCACAATCTTCACATTTTTCAAATAATTCAAATAGTTTGTCTTGTTGCCTATGAAAGCACATTGAGAAACATTGTACTGCAGTCAGACTTGTGTGTTCAACACACATGGTCACTAAAGCTGACACGTGGGAGATGGAGAATGAAAAACTGACTACAACAACTATTGATGATTATCAGTATAGTTGTAAATTAACCATCTACAGTGGGTACGGAAAGTGTTCAGACCCCCTTATATTTTTCACTCTGTTATATTGCAGCCATATGCTAAAATCATTTAAGTTCATCTTTTCCCTCATTAATGTACACACAGCACCCCATATTGACAGAAAAACACAGAATTTTTGACATTTTTGCAGATTTATTAAAAAAGAAAAACTGAAATATCACATGGTCATAAGTATTCAGACCCTTTGCTGTGACACTCATATTTAACTTAGGTGCTGTCCATTTCTGCTGATCATCCCTGAGATGGTTCTACACCTTCATTTGAGGCCAGCTGTGTTTGATTATACTGATTGGACGTGATTAGGAAAGCCACACACCTGTCTATATAAGACCCTACAGCTCACAGTGCATGTCAGAGCAAATGAGAATCATGAGGTCAAAGGAACTGCCTGAAGAGCTCAGAGACAGAATTGTGGCAAGACACAGATCTGGCCAAGGTTACAAAAAAAAAAAGAATTTCTGCTGCACTTAAGGTTCCAAAGAGCACAGTGGCCTCCATAAGCCTTAAATGGAAGACGTTTGGGACGACCACAACCCTTCCTAGAGCTGGCCGTCCGGCCAAACTGAGCTATCGGGGGAGAAGAGTCTTGGTGAGAGAGGTACAGAAGAACCCAAAGATGACTGTGGCTGAGCTCCAGAGATGCAGTCGGGAGATGGGAGAAAGTTGTAGAAAGTCAAAGAAAGTCAACCATCACTGCAGCCCTCCACCAGTCGGGGCTTTATGGAAGAGTGGCCCGACGGAAGCCTCTCCTCAGTGCAAGACACATGAAAGCCCGCATGGAGTTTGCTAAAAAACACATGAAGGACTCCAAGATTGTGAGAAATAAGATTCTTTGGTCTGATGAGACCAAGATAGAACTTTTTGGCCTTAATTCTAAGCGGTATGTGTGGAGAAAACCAGGCACTGCTCATCACCTGTCCAATACAGTCCCAACAATGAGGCATGGTGGTGGCAGCATCATGCTATGGGGGTGTTTTTCAGCTGCAGGGACAGGACGACTGGTTGCAATCAAAGGAAGGATGAATGCGGCCAAGTACAGGGATATCCTGGACGAAAACCTTCTCCAGAGCGCTCAGGACCTCAGACTGGGCCGAAGGTTCACCTTCAAACAAGACAATGACCCTAAGCACACAGCTAAAATAACGAAGGAGTGGCTTCACAACAACTCCGTGACTGTTCTTGAATGGCCCAGCCAGAGCCCTGACTTAAACCCAATTGAGCATCTCTGGAGAGACCTGAAAATGGCTGTCCACCAACGTTTACCATCCAACCTGACAGAACTGGAGAGGATCTGCAAGGAGGAATGGCAGAGGATCCCCAAATGCAGGTGTGAAAAACTTGTTGCATCATTCCCAAAAAGACTCATGGCTGTATTAGCTCAAAAGGGTGCTTCTACTAAATACTGAGCAAAGGGTCTGAATACTTATGACCATGTGATATTTCAGTTTTTCTTTTTTAATAAATCTGCAAAAATGTCAAAAATTCTGTGTTTTTCTGTCAATATGGGGTGCTGTGTGTACATTAATGAGGAAAAAAATGAACTTAAATGATTTTAGCATATGGCTGCAATATAACAAAGAGTGAAAAATTTAAAGGGGTCTGAATACTTTCCATACCCACTGTATTCATGTATTAAGAGTAATCCTTGTAGCTTTAATTACAGTAAATCATAAAAGTCCCCCAATTTAGCATTTATTAGCATATAAAATGTAATAAGGTTTATAATATTTTTATAACTGTCATCCATGAAGTTTACACCATCGTCCGCTCATAGGAGTTACAGGTGTAAACAAATACATTAATAAACACTTATATTTGCTTAAAACTATATTATAGAAATAATTTATTAAATGTTTATATACTGCTTATAAACAGTTGACCTCCATTTGGAAACATCTTACTCTTTCATAGATGGCTTTGCTACTACTGATGATAATGGGTAATACGAGTTACATCAGAAAACATTTATGCCCAGTTGATCAGAATGATGTGATGAATGTTTACCGTCACCTTTCCTTTCTTCAGTGCAATACTTGTAAATATGCATTGTACAGATTATACAGATCTGTACAGGTCTCTATTTTTAAGTACTCCATTTTTATTTCTATTTATCTCGCTTCCTAATGAACAGTCCTTTGTCTGTCTGCATTGTTTACTGCCTGTTTATACTGCTTATTTTGCATTGTTTGCACTGTTTGTTGCTGTTAATGCTGCTTATCTTGTTATATTACACAGCCTTATGCTGGTTTACTGTTTACTTGCCCCTTGCATGGGGATATGTACATACAGTACACATTGAGAGCCGATGTACCAGAGTCAAATTCCTCGTGTGTCAGACACACCTGGCCAATAAAGTGGATTCTGATTCTGATCATACACCTCATTTTCTTTGCTAGCTTCTCTTGTGCTGGCTGGCTAATGATAATGTAAATGTCATTTATTACTCTGTTTTGTCAGTTACTCTACTGAATCTCCCTGGAGACAGGAGTTGGAAGTGGTATCCCACCATATAGCATCTTTTTTCTTATTTCTACTGTAAACAGCCGCTTCATGTAAGATGCATTTAGTTACATTATGACTGAGACACTCACAGAGGCAGGTGGGTTTAGGGGCATCCCATTTGCCCAGTTTAGTGCAATGGCTGATGTTTCTGCCCTCCAGGATGAAACCGGCGTGACAGTTGTAATGGAGTACCGTCCCTTCTACTGGTGGTCCAGGAGGCCTTGCCATCACACGGCCGTTCTCCAGAGACGTCCACACCCGTGGGCACAGCAGCACTGGAAATGTGAAGGAGCACAACAGAGAAGAAGAGTGACACTGAGTTATAGAGAGGTGAATAGCTGGGGTTGTATCACTGTGTCTAGCTGAAGTCACACAAGCATTTCTCAGAGGCAGATGTGTTTTGGAGGAAAATGTTATCTGTCAGAAAAGCTCAGTAGATGTGGTCAAAGAAACCACACAGGTTAGCCAGCTGCATAGCTAGCTTATTTATTTATTTATTTTGGCCACATGGGGGCAGCAGAACAAGCTGTAAACACAATATTGACATTATCATCTTGTCTTATTAAGGTGAACGTGCTAGCAAGCTACTGGTTATTTACAGTCGCATCAAGCCGAGAAAACACATTTGAAGTCATGGTAACTTGATGAATGTACATCCAACATTCACTCTTCTTTTGCTCTCTACCAACTCCTAAAAGAAATATCTGGCCCTGCAGCTGCTAAATCCCCTACTGTGTTCACCAGCTAGTCTCTAACTTTGTCTGCTGGCCATTCAGTGCTGGACAGGTGGTGTACAGTGGGTTCATTACTGCTGAAAACAGCTGGCTGCTGCAGATAAAAATGAGGTTCATGAGGGCAGCGAGAGTGAACAAAAACAGTAAAGTATCAAGCCATAAACCAAAAACAAAGAACGAACACAGAGCTGAGAACTCCACAGTCAGGTGATAATTTAACAGAACAGAATATAAATGAGAAGCAAGGTAAAGCTGTTTCACCGAAGCCAGTGTCTGAGGCAGAGCTTTAAAGGAATTCATCTTGTGAGATTATTTCTGCCTCTTGAACAGCTTTACCTCAGACATTTTTGCATAGTACTTTCAGATATTAGGCTATTGGATACATCTGGAGAGTGTGCTGTACAATACAGATGCAATATGATACAAATACAGTAACCTTAAATGCCCGAGGAAACCTTTTGACCCAAATAAAGAAAGCTTTTGTGTTAGTAAGAAATATATAAAAGCCTAGCATTTGTCTTTTCGGTTTGATTTCCTGACAAAATGGCCGAGCTCTTGATTATAATTCTGTTTAGCTGCCGAGTTTGTTGAATCTTCCTTCCAGCATGTGAGCACATAATAAAACTCCAATCTGCACACTGCAGCTTGCGCTCTTACATAAGCCAGAGAAAACAAAAATCCTGCTTAGAGAATGTACTCTTGGAAAAAATAAATTCCACTGATGGTAAATGTTAACAAAGAACAAAAAACAGATATAACAGCGGCCGCATTGGCTCACTGGCCTTATGCTCTGTATTTGCAGAGGCACTGTAGATGTGATGTGAATGGAAATTAGCCTCAGGCTTCACTGTCCAATAGGATTATTTTGGTTTGCAGTAAGAACATAGTTTAACTATTTAGAATCTTAAATACTTTTAAAATACAAAACACATAGACCTAAAATCATACACACAGACATTAGACTGGTATATGTGGAAGCAAACAAGCCACCGCCTACTTTAATTCATCACAATCTATATGTAAAAAAGCCTGATTATTTGGCCAAAATCAGGCCAGATTATCCTCTACAGATAGTCACATTTACATTTATTTATTTAAATACCCTTTTCTTAGATACACATATCTAAGTGGCAAAAAAAAAAAAAGCCGACACAGCAAATGACAAGAGATTCGGTAATGTAAATGAATTAAATAAGTATGTGAATGAGGGCCGGATGGTGGCCTGTTACTTACAAAACAAAGAATTTCACTGTGATCATTTAACCAACGTGTGGTAAAATATTCCCAGCTCAGTGGTCCCTTGCTAGTTTTAACTGTATCATACAGTATGAAACCATATGAAGTGGTTGCCTGTGTGAGGAAGATTGTATCCCTGGTCTATTCCAGGATGTTCTTTGGCAACAGATGACTGTATTAGAGGCAGGCCTTTATTTCTGATTTCCTCCTTTCTCCATTTAACATAATTGACATTCCCCTCATGTTTACCTATGTGCACTTCCACAACATTAATTCCATCAGCACATGAGACAGATCAGGTGTTACACTTTTCCTTTTCCTCCCAACAAATGTGAAGCTACCGAAGTTGATGAAACTCAACACTTCCTCTCTCACATTAAATGTGTTGTAGCCGCCTCTTTAGGTAGGCTTTTAAAGAGGTAGAAACAATACGAGAAGGCTTTGCATTTTGTTGATGTTACTGTATCTTAATATCAATCAGGAGTGCGGCAAAGAAGAAATGACTGGAATAAGAGTAGCAAAATATGATTTTGGTTCAACAGCGAAACCCGGAGCAGCAGGGTAGTGAGTCTCAACCAGAACATTTCACTGGTGCTCATTTGTCAGTTTTTACAACCTCATAGCATCCTCTAAATTGTAATTATGTTTTCATTTATTAGATAGCTTGTAATGTTCCTATACAAGGTCATTCCAGTACAACAGCAATTATTTGAAGCAGTTATAATCATTTTATAGCAGCAATGAATCAAATGAGAAGGTGAAAGGATTTGCTTGTACCGATGCACCCACAGAGAATTAAAACCCAAATATGTAGCTGCCCTCAGCTTTACAGAGCTTTATAGTGAGTTTGTTTAACTGTCTGGCCTGAAACTTTGCTGTTTTGTTTCACCCTCACTGCTTGTGTCGTTTTAGCTGCAGGAGGCGGCTGAGCAAAGCTTTAGACCCCACTGTAACCTATCTGCTTAGCACCAAACAGCAGACAAAGTGAGGGACTGGCCGGTGAACATAGTGGAAGATTTAGCCGTTTTATGAGCCACATATTTCCCTCAGAAGTTGATAAAGGTGCACATTTCTGTGCTAGCAAGTTCACCATATTAAAGTAAAAGATGGTGATTGTCAATGATAAGCCAAAAAAGCTGTTACTGCAGGTTTTAAAATGGTGGGATGTACTGTAGGAAAGCATATAATTACAAGGCAATGGACTGGTTTCTTGTAAGTGCTATATAGTATCACTTTACTTTACTCAGGAGCTTCATATTACTACTGTCAATGATAAAAATAACTCCAATCTCAAGCCTTAGAAAAAAAGTGAGACTGAAGGTTGCAGAGTATTTCACACTTTCCTCTCTGTGTACTATAAACGGGGAAGACGGTAACATGCTGTCAAAACAACTGGGATGTTATTTCATTGTATTAGCGGCCTTAATTTGATGCTGATTCACCAGAGGGGACACATAGAAACCGATTATTATACCCAAGATTTGTCTGGAAACAGAACTTTGTGACAAATTTAAAAAGGCAAGGAGCACAGGATAAAAGGGGGGTGAGAATTAGACCAAATGGGACTTACAGCATCTGCTGTGCTGCGTCATGTCCGTCCATGTGCCATTGGGTAAGCACTTCCTGACCTTGGGTCCCACGATCACTCGATTTCCTCTGCAGATGTACTCGATCTCATAATCCACAGGCAAGATCTGCACACTGCGAATCTGTTTGAGAAACATGAACAGTGAGAGACTGGGAGAAAGAATCAGTCATTAAAGAGTGATAGATGCTCTCTTGTACCAGAATATCTAATTCAGTCAGGGACCCTCTTCATTTTGCCTCAGTGTAGTAGACTCTGGTGCCATATTACAATAAGCTCCTCTGGTAAAAAAAAAAAAACATCTTATGGCAATACTGTCTGAACCGATGAGCTGTCACACTCTGAATTACACCTTCTCACAGGTTGGGAAACAAGTAGGCTTGTCCTGGCTTCATGTTTGTGTGGATAAAATAAGAAGGGTGCAATCAGCTACAAGATTTTTTATCATCTTTAAAACTATTTAAAGATTTTTAAAAAGGGAAAAAAACGAGTGCTGTGGCTTAGACAAAAAAAATTCTTGACTCAAGGTCCAGCCTTTTCTGTCACTCTTTTCCTAGAAGTCCTCCAACATAACAGACCAGATAGGTTGTTTGCCCTTCCGATATAACGCACAGGAGCATTTAGTGAATTTGCACCCCTACAACGGCAAGAGATGTCCAAAGATAAACTGTTGAAAATACCTCTTTTATGATGTGAGAATGCTGTGGCTAAAGTTGGTGTCATGACTGGTTTAGGGTGTACACACACAGGGAGGATCAAAATGCAGACTTACTGGTGCAATAAAGTAACTTTAACAATGAAAACAACAGAAGCTCACAGGCACAAAAACATCACACAGTAAGAGCAAAAGGAACAGGCAGAAGTCATGATCCACAGAACGGGAATTCAAAAACAGACAGGATAAACACACACCAGGCCTGATCACTACAGCTGGTGTGGCACAATACATGATAGGAAAGTGAGCAGTCTGAGTAGTGGGAGGACTGATGAGGAGACTGGGAACAGGTGTGTGAGTGGGCGGGGAAGGTCAGGTGACTGGGAATGGAGGGAAAGTTTGAGGGCATCTGCTGGCTGGATGGAGCTTGGCAGGAGACAGAGGCAGAATGGCCAAAAACAAGCAGGGCTGCAGGAAATGTGACATTTGGCTGTGTTCATGAAAAGAGATTAAGGTAAGAGGGCTTTGTAACTATGATTAATGGAATTGTTATGGTGAAGGGTAATGTTATAGAAAAATCATGGTCATGGTTAAAAGAAACGCATTTGACTGTTGGTTTAATAAAACAGGAAATGATCAGTGGTCTCCTGTGTTGAAGTCCACCATGTTATCAACTGACCCATTCCTCTCCCCCAACCTCTTCCCTGTGCAGACTTTATTGTTAAATACTAAAAAAGCCACTGCTAACTGCTATTTCCAAGGTTAAAAGTTAAAGGGGATAAAAAGCATGATCAAAATCGCTGCGGCACAGGCCAAGATTTCCTGATGTATTATCCCAATATGGATCCCTATGGATCCTAAATTTCCCACAAATCACTTTGATAGATACACATTTAACAAAACAAAAACTCTGCTGCCTCAGTTTATAACACAATATTTCCATTGTCAGTTCATAGTATTTTAGGGAACTGTTCCCCAGATTCAACAAAGTTCCCTCTGGAGCCACAGAAGACAACATACAATGGTTTTCACAGGCCCCCATTAAGAAAAATCTTTTATTGGCCCTTTAATTTCACACTCAGCATGCATGCAAGTGTACACTGTAAACTGTTGTTATAAGATTTTAGTTGACATATCTGCTTTATCAACTAGTTCACAGCTGAATGAACCCTGTAAAGATCAGAGGGAGAGCTGGATGTTGTGAGAAAGGTCAAAGGTTGCAACAGATCCTGGCCAGGGCTTTGGCCCACGAGCCACAGATCGCTCTGTAGCAGTTGATTGTATAGTCCATAATATGTCAATATGTAATAAAATGTCCCTCTAATCAAAGTGATAGGTTGACATTTGGGGAAATATGCTTACTAGCTATCTTGCTGAGAGTTAGATGAAATGATCAATACCGCTCTCATGTCTGCCTGTTTCCAGTCTTTGTGCTAAACTGAGCTAACCATCTGCTGGCTCTTGCTTCATACTTTCTGTACAGATGTGAGAATGGTTATCAGTCTTCTCATCTAACTCCCAACAGGAATGCTAATAGAGCATTTCTCTAAATGTCAAACTATTCCTTTATGTTTTAAACACACCGGCGCATAATGTCAACTGAAATATGCATAGTATTCTTTTAGGTTTGTTGTCATTATTCTTATTATATTAGCTGAAATATTCCTCATAATATCACCAGCTGATTTGCATCTATGTAGTGGGATCACTTCATTTTCCCAAACTGACATAATGTTTCATATGTCCAATTTAATTAGGAGGAAATCTCATCTTAATGCAGTAATTGGGAAATGGTGTCATCTGCTTAATACTTCCAGTTCTGTTTGGAAAACTGTTGAGCCAAATGTGGTATAATGTGCTTCATTCTGTCTCTTTACCTGTTCTTGTGTCAGGCCCCTGTAGCGGATCCCCCCATCCCTGGGAGGCCGGATGATGGCACAGCCTGATAAAAAAAAAAATAAACGAATGAGGGAAGGACAGTAAGAGCAGACAGACCTCTCTGTCTCCAGATAGCATAGATATAGCAACATGATACAGTATCTTGTCAATTTCAGTGACGCCTTCCTTACTGCACAAATAACTGTGCTTCATTCAGGTCACTAACTGTAGCAGTCTCTCTCTGGAGTTACTTCTGTCCATTAACGCATTCTGTAGACCAACACACACAGACAGACTGATTCCCGCACATATCTATGCACGAACACACACAAATTACCTCCAGCTGATGAATTATGTATCGGCACAACAAGAGATGGAAGCGCACAGAGAATAATCAGAAACAATAGCTGTGCCATCTCTGGATCTGAAAGAGAAGGAAGAGAGGGAGAGATGGTTTAACAGAAAGAAGGGACATAATGACAGGGAAATTGAGGGTTTCAGAGAAAGAGAAAACGAGACACAAAAAGAAAAGCGTAACAGAAAATATTCTACCAGGATTACACTACAGTCTTTTGTGGGTCACTGTTGCCCGTCCTTCCAAAAGGGATGCATCAACCTTTTGGCAAAAAAAGCTGCTTTTTCAGCCTACCTGACTGTGCACAGAGAGGGTGGACTGAAAGATGAGTCCACTTTTCTCTCCCTGCTTCTATTTGTGTTTACAGTGCAGACAGCTCAGGTTCGGTTGATCTTAAGCTATACTTCATTTCAAAGGCCCCATACACAGGGTTTCACCTCAGCTTTTGATGGCTGATAGTGATGTTTTTGCAGTAGCTGCCCATAGAAACACTTCACACCAAAGCAGAGTCAATAGACGTTAAGTTTTTCCTTCATGTTATGGTGGAAAATAATTTGTAGACCACAGAGACAAACACACTTTCCATTGCACGGCAGAAAGGTGCTTGACAAGGCACAGTGACTCACCCCACCCCACTGGCAAGGATACACTAAAGAGTACACTGCCAGTTTAGCATCTCACTGCTGTACCTTTGTCAGACTCATGGATGGCAGTTAAAGCAAATGCGATCAAAATCTAGTGTGCTGGACAGGACGTACAGGCTTTTTAATTGCATACAGTCTTTATGCTTCTCAGAACTGGTGCCTCAATTATCCACAATGCAGCTCAGCCACAAACAGCTGCTAATCTAGCCTCTAACACAGCTAAGGAGTGGGCTACAGAGGTTACACATATGGAAGACAAATCCCTGGGCCAGCGCCAGCCAGCTACCCATTCATTGTCAGTCGGAAACTGAGCGTTGTCACTCAGCACACCTTGCTGTGCAAGAAGGCTACCAAAGGAGCCCAACAATGTGTCGGCCCACAGCTGGGGGAAGATCTATCCTATGCAGCAATAGCTGGGCAAGAGCCATTCTGTACTGATGGCAGAGATGTGACCCACACTCAAAACTGTTATAATTTTCATCTGTAAGACTGGTATTATGCCATTTATCAAGTTGACATTTTTTCAGGTGACAAAGTAACCAATATGTGGTCAGTCTATCCACATAAAGCCTATTTAGAAATTTGTTCCAATGTTTTCTGAGATGAGTGCTGGTGAGCAGATCAAGCCAGTTCTATCAGTGGGCAGCTACATCTTGTTCAGAGCACAGTGGTCTGTCCGCGAGGACACCAGCATTCAGCTGCATGCTGAGAGCGCTTCGTCCTCCTGTCCTCTGCAGTTTGGACTTATAGTTTAAACTTATTAACTCATTACAATCACCTACTGTGATTGTAAACAAGCAACACGACAGGACATGAACTACAGTGCACAATACAGCGTATAAATCACATCTGTCTAGCTCAACACAACACACTCCCAGAACTACAGCGTCTCCAGAACCCAGCGACAGCCAGCTGTTTGTCTCTGTATGTGGGAAAGCTCCATAACAAGCTCACTTCTAACTCCACACTCAGATTTTTTTTCCACTTTCAAACTTATAGTCTTCAGTCCCTTGCTTGGAACAGACTTTGGGCAAAATTTGTGGAATTCCCTTTTAAATGAAGAGTGAATTTACAGTTCAAACAATAACATCTGTCATATTAACAAGTAAATAGAAAATGTTACTCCGATGTATGGGCAACATTGGCTTAATCCTAATTAATGTGTACAAAGACTCCATCTGACAATGACTAATGTCTAACTTGCAGAACTCAGAGTACAAATTGAGTGCGCTATGCTAAACAGCAAAAGGTCTGAAGACCCCTGAGCCACTACAGAGCTGGCAGGCAGGGAAATGCAGTGGCTCTCCCTCTCTCTCTCTCTCTCACACACACACACACACACAAACCATGCACTATATATAGGTGCTCATTTGCAGCTTCAATAATAAATGTTGCTTTATGAGATTGTCACAAAGGCAAACTTAAACACATTCATACTCTACACTCTCACTCTTAACAAGGGGGTGGAGGGTGTGTGTGTTTAGGGGGTGTGGGTGGGGGCAGGGGGGCATAATAAAGTAAAGCACTACAGAGAGGAAGACAGATGGTAACGAGGCTTGCTTGTGGAAGACAGACAAACTCTGCTGGATACTTCATTAGCATTATCCAGTGTATTTTTAGTGTTCACCGACAAGAAACATGCAGGAGGTAGACACCACCAGAGTGTGTATTATGTGCGTCTGTGTGTTGGCAGTGTACAGTGTGTGCTTTGGTGCTGTGTGGGAAGGAGGGAGGGGGAGCAGTAGAGAGTATAAGGGGAGAACGAAGGACAGCCCAGCAGGAGTCATTAATATCAGCAATCACACACTGAGCGGGATGAAAGCAAACTATGTGAGAGAGTATAGCAGGGATGAGGCAGCCTAACCAGCACAAAGCCAGCTACCTCCATCAGCGCTGTGGCTGCAGACAGAGGGAATTGGGGCTGTCAACTAGCCTCAAGCTTTAAATGCAATTAAGGCTTCAGCACCGCGGACAGCACCTTCCCAGCTCCAAAACAGCACAGCCTTATAAAACATCTTGTTACAAAAACACCTTCAGCCCATCTACAGTCACTTCCAGCTCTAATGTCACTGTTGCACACAGACTGCCTACTTCCTTGTGTGTTTATAATGCCGGAAGCTGCAGTGGAAAGAGATGATCCGGTCCATTTCAACACCAAAGACAGCTTCATGTCGAGAACGCATGGAGTGGCTCTTTCCGAGCTCTAAGCACGTCCACACGGGATCCATGCACACAAACTGCCGTATTTTGTGCATGGCTAAGCATGAACTATTGAGACGTGAGGGTCACAGTAAAGGGTGCCACCAACCGTGTGCTGCTGGTAGTTACTTGTCGGCTGTTCAGAAGGGAATCCGTGATGGCCTGTAGAGGAAGGCCGACCATATTAACGAGCCGTATAGTCCTCATATGAATGGATCTCAAAAGTGGCGTCTAGAATAACATGACACCTCATTTATCCAACTGCATGTTGTTTCAAAAGCTGTAACATCCCATCCTGATACCCTCTCTTTCTAAAGCTATTCTATCTCTATAAATATAAATGCAGACGGGATGGTGATGGCTTCTTGCAAGAAGGAACTCAAAACAAATCTGGCCTGTACTCATCGGAAATGTATGGCCCTTGCATACAAAATGAAGAACGTATTTGGCATTTGTCTAGATTATCTACACGGGAAATTGAGCATTTTCTGAACAAATGTAGTCTACAGTAATAGTAGCCCCCTGAAGCAAGGCTGTAGCATGTGTACTTACTATTAGTTTCGATGCGCTCAGTCAAGATAACAGTAAGTCCTCCGGGTGGGACCCGCCGGGGAAAGCCCAGTGTCGGATTATTTGGTAAAAATATGCATCATTGCAACGATTTTATGGCTATATTAATATGGCTCTAAATGTGCAAGCTTCTCCGTGCGTAAACAGAAGGGTACAAAAACAAAACGTATCTTATTCGGGGTTTTTCCGTGTATTGCAGTTGCGCATGGCAGAGGTAAGAAATGACAAAAATCCATACAAAAAATATACATGCACTATGTACAAACGCATCCCCATAAACGTCGAAACACCGATTCACCACACACCCCTCCTTTTTTCCTCTCCCCCTACAATCTTGAGCTAATTCACGACGTCATGATGGAGACGCACCGTGCGTAACAGTCCCTCTCTCACGCTTTTATCTGATCCCCCACCTTTCCAAGATGAAACGCGCTAAGGTCCAGGCCCACAGCAACAAAATATCATGATGAATCTTAAGATGAGGCTTTGAATTTATGATAAGCTTGCAGATTTATTTCACCGTAAATAATATCACGGCAGGAAGACTAGGCACGGATGGGGGTGCGGATACGGCGCTGAGGCATTAACAGTGACTACACTGTTAAGCCTTTTTCTAAAGCCTTTGGGAGCTTAAGTCAACGAAGCAACAATCAGCCATTTCTTCAACACTGGTCATCTATTAAATCAGAGCATCGACTTATACTGTCTCCCTCATGTCTTTTGCAATCCTCTGCTACTCTGCCATCTATTCTGAGAACAGGATTCTGCTTCATATTTATATATCTGTTGAATAATTGAAGGAAGGCTGGGAAAGACATAACCTCTCCCTGTATCTGTAAAACAGGAATTTACAGCCCAATTCAATCCGACATACAATTATACTGTAAGAACTACAAGATATCAAGTAAATATGAGAAACACTGGAGAATTAGGATTTGTTTTATTGATTATAGATATGACAAGGCATGAACTGGAAAGAGACTAAGACAAGTGAAGGTGAAAGGTAAACTGCAATAATGACTTAAATACATATGATAAACAGAGTATCCCGAACATATGTACACTGTCAGATATTCAAATCAGAAACACATGTAACTGTACATGTCAGTATTTTCCAGCTTGGTAATAATTACATACATTTACAAGTCGCTTTGTGACTTCACTGTTTTGCATCATACACTTTGACAGTCAAAGTACAATATCGTAAGGAAAAAAAATACAGAAACCCAAACAAAGTAAGTCATGGCTCTTCAAGTTTCATCAGAAAACAGTGCTCAGATGAGTCAGGTCATTCTTCTATTTGAATCATAAAAGGACAAACACTTGTTCTTGAACTGGTCCTAAACAGAACTACAGATGAGTTTAAACAAAATACTACATTTGTTAAATAAGTTACTTATTATGCATCAAGGCACACTTCAAATTACAAGAGTAATTATTTTTAAAGGCAAAGAAATCACACTCATTGCCAAAGAAATCCACCATTACAAATGTAAACAATATCCAAATACAAATTTGGGAAAGGGTTTTGCACCAAAAGATTACAGTCTAATGACAAAAAAAGAAAACATTTATAAGCTTCATGTGTCTGGTTTGTTTCAGCAAATAGCTATAAATACATAAATGTCAGTTTAGGATTGCATGCTACTGGAGAGAAACGGTCAAATTGGGTGTATATCGTCTTCAGATTCACCTCCATTCATTGTATTCAGGATGATAGAAATTCTCAAAAAACGCATTCGCTCATGCCCAACATAAGAAAAGCATCACTCGCAGCATCATACTGGAAATAAATATATGAAATGTGCATTCAGACATGCTTTCACTCTGCACGCACAGAATGGTTTTTGTCATTTTTCCC